AGTAATTCATGTTTACATTTTCTTGTTGAAAGTCAATGTAATCTCTAGGGAGTATGAACAACTTTAAAGGTTGGAAATGAGCTTTCGCAAGTCACTTAGTTTTAAAATAAATACCTAGATTAATTGTAAACAAAAAACTTCAGCAATTGAAATAATATTTAAAAACATTACCTAAGTTGAAGGAAGCGTAACCGCATGAGAAGTGACTTATATGCAAATGTTGATTATTGTTGATATGCATAGTTTAGGTATAACTGTTTCGTTAAAATGTTATAGATTTTACACAATTTGTTTTATACTCAAGAATTTTCGTAAATGTTAATAATATCATAAATATCGATAATATTATTTTATTGAAACCTTCATTGTTATCAAAATCATAATTGTTCAATAAAAATATATACCTACCTAGTTGTATATGAATCAAGAAATTATCATTTTAATTTTATCTGAACTTAAAGCAAAATTGATTAATTCTGATTATTTTATAAGCTTAGAGCATATTATTAAGAATTTTCCGAGAATATATTTTTAAAACGAATATAAAATATTAGGCTACAATAATAATTATACTACATCTAAATATGTTTATTTGATTATTTATAAATATTCTCTCTGTGTTTTCAAGAACTCATAGCGTAGCTATATAAACAGTACAATCAGTAGATTTTATAAATGTGTCATCTTTCATCTTTGGAGAATTGATAACTGATTTGGAAATAGGTAGTTGTATTTATAAAATTGACTAACAAAAATCATTTTTTTATTATAAAATATTAATCGAGATATGTAAATCCATCTCTGCTGATATATGTACTCGCATAAATCATAAGTGCTCGTACGACCATAACTGAAATGGAACATAAGAATATAGGTAACGCCAACATTGTGTAGTGTGTAGCTATATTGTCTATATGCATTGCGCTAGCCAAAGCACGATTTATTCAGGATGAGCACTAGAGATGTCTTCACTAGTGTGGCGTGTAAATCATTATTTTTTATTATATTCAGAGTTCAATATAATTTGAATTATTTTAGCATTAGAGCCAAAAATCAAAATTTGGGGTTTTCCCCAAAACTTAATAATTAAATATATATTTACTTATTTACGTCTTATTGGTGAATAAATAGATGGGTACACTGTACACATTAAGCTCAAACAATATTATCACATTGATTTTTGGGTATTATAATTTGTAATAAATGCGAGAGGAAGTGTGCCGATGGCTGCTGGATGGCTGATAAACATCGTTCGATACAAAAAAAACATTTACGCCCGCACGAAAATAACCACAACCTGACGATTTACCAAATCGAGTTCAAAAAGAAAGTATTTTTTCTCCCATTAGTGATTAGTATGTACATGTTCGTATTCGCACTTACATCAGCCTTACGATACGACTACAGTTGCAATTGTTTGCAATAAAACAATTTTCATAGTTTTTGGGTTTTTGTTTTTGATATTAGATCTTTCCGTTTCACATCACGTAGTTGACACCTTTTAAAATTAATAATAAATCAACGACATTTTGAATCATACTCTAATACACCTGATTCACACGAAGTCGTTGATATAATATCGGAGTAAACGAATATTAAAAACTTAAGAAAAAACATTTATAATATATGTATATGTTATTATTTTAACTTTTACCTCGTTTATAGCTTACAAGTCGTATTAAAAGAACATAATTTTGTGTTTGTGACATAAGTACTTTCTTGCAATAGGTACTCATTGTAGTGATGTGAAAATAAAAATATTTTCTATATGAAAGCACATTCCACTTTGCAAGCACCAATGTCGCACACATTAATATTATGTTTTTAAAATTAATATTTAAGTAAATAGATATTGCAGTTTTTGTAGTACATCAATATAAAAATGAACGTCATTTTTTTCATTACGTTAAAAACTATTACATAATATTTGACAGGATCGCAGCGAGAGGAAAATAAAAACAATTTTTTTTTGAAAATAACAAACGAATAGTCATAATCACTAATTTTACATTTTTTTTTTTTTGATTTTTCTTTTTACATTTTCAAAAATTCATACATAGGAACAGAATATTAAATTTTTAACAACTTACAACAGTGCGCCAACTACTAACATAAGTGCATTGACACGTATAATTTATTTGTATAGTATAATATATTATTTTATTATTCGTAACTTTGAATATATTAGGTATGTTATTATTATGTATGATATACAATTATTATTGTATTATAGTATATTGTGTATATATAGTACTATTATTGGTTACAGAATTTCAACTGGGGAAATATGTATGTATTTTGTACGTGTTAACTGTATAAGTACTAAAATGACTAAGCATATTGGCACATAAATATTGTTTTAAAAGTATATAAGTGTGTACCTATATTTAAATTTGCATCCAATTGAATCAGGCATGTACAACAATTCCAGTAACATTCTATTCGTTTATTATAAAATACAAAAAAAAAGATTTGATTCAGCCTCCGCCAAATTTTTTAGACAGAAAATTACGATATTTAAAATAATATTTCAAGTATAATCTAATTTTTGAGCTGGTTTTTAATTAATGTATAGTGAAATATCTCAAATACAATCGTTTGGTATTTTATTTATCCAACTCATATATTTATAACAGACTAAGGAGAATTGGACGTTTATTTAGATATGAATACAAAAAAAAAAAAAATAAGAAATAAAAATATAATAAAAACATTACATAATTTATTTTATAGTTCAACGATTTTTCATTTAAACAAATTATTGGTTTCGTTCGGAATACAATGTAATTTAATGCCACAAGAATTATGTTGCATAGCATTTTAATCTGCGTGGGTACAAGCATAAAAACTATATCACATATCAAAATAAGTGAATGAAATTTGTTTATTAGGGGAAAAATTTGTACTATGTTTCAATTTGGAAAAGGTATAACAGATAAAGAACTTTAAAATGAAAAGCATACCTTTGTCGCGAATCTGTGAAACACACATTTGGTAGGCAGGTCAATTATTTAATACATTAAAATATTTAATTTAACTGAAATGTAATAAATGTCTTAGAATATAATAGGCTACCAATGTCCTCGTGGAATTTTAATGTAAAATTCATAATCCAATACATATTTTTTATCGAAAGTCATAAATCTAAATCAGATCGAATATTTTTTTATAAATTGTAACTATAATTACTCTTTTTATTTATTATAAGATTTCAACAATATTTTAGTATTAAAATAAATATAGTTAAAACTATGGCCTAAAAAAAAAATTTCGAAAGTTGGGAACTAAATACCAATGTACATTTTAATATTGGTTGAAAACTTATTATGTACAAACTTTAACAAATTTGTCCTTATGAACTTCACATCGAAACCAAATTTCATTAGTTTTTATATTTTTCGAACTATGAATGTATAAAAAGAAGGATCTCATCTCGATAATTTTAAATTTGATAAGAAATATGTAATTAGATTTCAAACAAAATGATCGAGAAACATAATAATAATAAATATAAGTTAATAATATGATCGCCCAATATGTATATGAACATTATAAATAAAGTTATCATGATAAATTAATAATTGACTTACAAAAAATATTTAAAAATCAAATCTACACTCTTCAGTAATGATCTATTTCGACGACGTCTACGTCTACGTAGCGAATTTGTTAAGTAAATTTATGATTAATTCAAATTGTGTTTTTTTTTTGTTTTTGTTTAAGAGCAAAACGAATTTATATAAATATATAATATGCATTAAATGCGTGTGTACATGTGTACACGTTTTATGCAGAGTATAATATTTGTTGTTAGTATCCATAATAATTAGGTAGTATAACAATTAATAAGGCTGTTTGAGTTGAATTTAAATAATGCTACCTAATCATCATTTTTCCAACTCACTAATCTGTTCAACTGAAAAATGAAAACGAAATTTAAGCCTAAGCAACAAATGTATGTACATATTGATAAACATAAACAGACGAAAGCCAACGATGGCTGAGCCAGTTTAAATATAGTTGTATATCATACGATTTCACTAAAATCTTTCATCATAATAAATATTACGTAAAATATAATAATTATAATTTATAATAAAATTAGCAATACGTACACAGCGAACCTTCATGATTTATTGATTGCAATAATTTCGTTCGCTTTCTGTTATTGGAGCTTTTTCGATTGATTTTTTAGATCGATTGAGGTATTGAGTATTTTGATTCGTTCAATTTTATTGATTTTGGCATTATGTGAATATTTCGAGATATGTGATTGTTGTATGACATAAATATAATAGTAATAATAATAATAATGATAACTTATAGGTATCTATATGTTCTTACCATCCAATGAACAAAATAAATTAAATAACAAACTATAAGCTATTGCAATTAATAAATCATAAAAGTTACATTGCGTAAATTAAACGAACACAACACATTTCGTTTCAAACAAATATTTTGTTAGTTTACACCACCTAATTAATTATAAAAAAAAACAACATACAAGACACATTTCCAATGCCATAACTCGGTTATTTATTTAACAACATAAGGAAATCGATTACTTAACAAATTATGTTTTTTTAACCAATTAATAATATTTTGTTCATTAACATTATTTTTAAACTATTGTTTACATAATAATAACAAAAAAAAACAAACAATAATTATATAAATACAATTTGTTGTTACAATATTCTAAAAAAAAAATAATAATAGTGAATAAATAACCACAAAAAATAAAATAAAAATAAAAATGGTGTTACTTAGGAGATAAATAAAAAAGAAAAAAAAACATTAAAATAAATTATAAACGAAACATTATAAACGTAAACATTTTAATATCAGTAAATATTTGTTTTAACTTTAAATAGTATATTGACAACCATAACAACAATATGTTGTAAAATAATATTTCATTGGAACAACAGTAAATTATTGTGGATTACAAGAAGAATTTTTGTGTTAAGGAATGTCGGCAAATAAAAGTTAAAATGTATGCAACGACTCTATTCAAATAGGCTAATAACACAAGACACAGACGACAAGGCAAACAACAATATTGCTTGTTTGGTCGGTCTTAACGGTAACCATTACAATGTGTTCGTTTGGCGTATTTAACAAGATGGTAATTAATTGCTTGTTACGCATGAAAAACGACAACGTCTAATAATATCGAAGAAACAAAAGTATTCAGATAGTCTCTTTTCATTCACAATTCACAGGTGTTACAGTTGAAATTGGCAGTGAATTATTATGTTTTAATCATATCATAATGTTAATCGTAATAATGTAGGTAGTATGGTATTATGGTAGTGTTAGACATGTATGATATTTCGGGTCGACATGTTTAAGTAGAACGGCCCCGTTGGGTTTCGACCTTAAAATTTAAGTAGAAATACGCGATCGCAACTCAACATTGAAGTGTTAATGCGATTTCATGGTTTTAAAATTTTGAACAGCTGACAAAATGTTATGTTCGTAAATATACTAAATAATGATCGATTTGCCTTAAATATGTACAGCGAACAAAAAAAAAAAATAAACACAGCCTCGTAAAACAATGCTACGCCCAACGCACTATTTATTTAAGTTAATACTATCGAGAAGACGAATCACCAAATAGGCCGAATAAATTCCTACACGCTTTTTTTTTTTTCATTTTTTCTTTTTTTATTCGTCTGCCTAAATTAAACTAAGTATTAAAGCCGATTTTGATAAATTGAATGTAAAAAAGTCCGACAAACGTTGTTGGTGTCGCATTGTTTTTTAAAGGTCACATTAAATATAAACCTATGTAAATACATGTAATAATAATAATAATATATTTATATATATATTATATAATTTTAAGCTTAAGTGCCTATATGAGGGCATACGAGTAAATTATAACAATAACCATAATTTTAGAAAACAGTGATAATGATTTTTATCAAATACAATGAACAATTTTATATTATGTGCAACAATTTGTTTAACGTAATAATACTAAAAAACAAACAAAATATTTGAAATAAAAAACAAAACCATTCGATAGACGCCTGGCGTGTTGAGAAAGTTGCCGGCCAACATAAAATTAGTGTAAACAAGTATAAAAATTCGTACCTGACGGACGAGACGTGAGCTTCAGGTTACTTATGAATAAATTGTGATCACTTCGCGACCACCGCCCCTCACCATCAACACTTTGTCGAGGCCTTCGGTCATCACTTCTAAGAATTCCATGTCTATAATATGATGAGTCAAGGATACATTTATGTTAATTAATAACTTATCTACAAATAAATTGTCATTTGTTCATGATTATTTGGGCACAAAATTATATTTTTATCATTCCATAAAAACTAAAAGAGAAAAAAAACAGTAATACGTATATTTGACAAATCAGATGAGCCATATGGGTTTAAAGGTATTAAGATTTAAGGATAATTTTTATCGCATTTAAAATCAACTTCAAGTAGATTGGTTTCTTACCTTTATTATTGTTGTTTATTTTCAGTTTAATTATAGTAATTCTTTTCATTTTGTCAGACGAAACGACAATTAAGTATTTCTCAATAATCTAAGAAATAACATTTTTTATGGGGTGTAGAAAACATATTTTCAACATTTGATAATTCGTACTTTCGAGTCAAAATAGCCTAACATATATTATTTTAAAATCTGTCAATTTAAAAATATCACAGTAAAACTTTAGTATTTGAATTCAGTCTCAGATATACTATTCATGTAGGTAGGTTTGTAAAAATGTGTTGAAACAAAGTACAACGTTTGCTACTTGCTGTTTATATAATATCATAGTAATAAAGTATTAATTAATTAAAAAAAGGATACAGTTTGATTCTCTCTCTAATTTGGTGTCTTTAGGCGGTCCTGGTAAGTTGAATATAACCAATTGAGCGTCTCTCGATCTACTGACAATGACTTCGTTCAGTTTAACAGCTGTGTGCATTCTCCTCACATTATCTTCGTCTCTGAAAAAACACAGTAAGCATTTTGAACCATGGTGTAATACGTTACCGATTACCAAGTATATAGGTACCTACTATAATAATATTTTTATACTTACGGTCGCATTGTCGATGTAGACGAATCTGTTGTCTCCTTTGGCAGCGAGTCCTTTAACACTCCCGGTTTCTCGCCATTACCAGTTGCTCGTTTCTCGTCGACATCGAATGCATTTTCGGCCTACACGTTAAAGAGTTAGGGTTACTTATAATATAATTCACGTCATACGTTTCCACGATTGATGTACTTACAGGTTTTGATTTTTTCGCTTCGTCGTCCATGCTGGTTTCTTCCTGGAAACGCACTTTAGTAGCAGATCTCCCTTCCGACGCGTCTTTTCTGTGGTGCTGGTCTATAATGGATTGTACCTATATTACCGAAACAAAATGGTTATGATGGTTTGTAGAAACTATTGTGTATCGTTCAAGATGACAAAACGTTTCATGGTTTAAAATGCACAGCTATACTGACAAACTGGATTAGAAAAAACTATGTCAAGTACATAGCACAGCGCACGGTTGAAAACAATATTATAATATCAAGCTTCAATAAAAAATTTACTCTTGCATTAATAATAGCATTATATAGGTACATGATACAGGTAAAATATTATAATATGAAATGACAACAGCTATTACGTTGTAATGTTATTAATAAAACAATATGTTTATTAAACAAACTAAAATAGCGATAATGCATTGGTAGCTATTGAAGAAGTTATGTTATAATAATCACGGGCTTTTATCTAATATAGAAGCATCAATTTTTACATGTCTATTAAAAAAAATGTAAAAAATAAACCTATAATGTAATGTATTCATGAAAATAATTAAAACCACTTAGTTAATGTTGTAATAGAATTTTAATTTATAATACAAAATTAATATATTGATGAACATTCTATTCAGAAGCAATGTTAATAAGTATACAAATTATAAAGTAACAATACTGAATCGATAAATAAAACTTCTAATACCAAAATAATATTTTATACACATTGAAGCATTTAATTTTATGCAATCATATATGTTAATATTTAAAATTAATTATTTGCTTACTTTCTACACTACTCGGGTATACAATTAATATTCATCTACGAATTTCTAAGTATCAACTAAGGACATAAACACTCTAAAGCGTTCCTAGAAGTTAAATAAACTGAAACAAACCAATGGTGTATTCTCTCCAGTCGGTGTTTCTCGATTGAAATCTATGATATTACGCATCTTTTGTAAGCCAAAAAGATAAAACAACAAACCACAAGCCGTGTTTAAAGATAGTAAAAATGAAGGAATAATCGAAATTGAAGATTTATTAATTAATTATAAAATTTAACACACCAAAATATAACGTTTTAACTTACCATTCCAAAGCTTTCTTTCTTATTAAGTCTGAGCTCCCTTAACATTTGATTCCGTTGTTCCATCATGAGTGTTCTTTCATATGTATAAGCTGATATATCATTATTTGTCTGAAACGTAAAAATCGTTTTATTACGTATGTCATGTCCGTTTGAATAGGTATATTTTTTTCGAAACGCAATAGAAATAAGAATTATTACCATTTCAACCACTTCAACTTCTGCTGGTATTCTGAGTTGGTATAAGAACGTCTTTAGATCTTTTTTCATCTGGATGGAGTTGTCGTCGGTCTGTGCCACTGTGAATATTCTCAATTTGCAGTTTTTCCAGGTCCTGTGTTGTTTCAACAAGAAAGGTATGAGCATCAGAATGCCTCCGTCGTGTACGATCCACCAAATATCGATTGTGCCCGACAGCTGTTATACAATTACATACATACGCGTATACAGTTATTGATTTATTGACTGTCAGTCATTAAATAGCTATAATCATTGTTGAAAAAAATGTTTTATTTAAATTTTTACCTTTGTCGCAGAGTCTGGGAATGATCTTATGCCTTTAGGTACAATTAGAGCCATCTTAGCAGCTGTTACGATACGAATGGTGTGTAGGAAAACTTGCCACGATCGGTCGTTCTCAGATTGTTGCCAGCTGTTTGGCCAGCCTAGAATCACGGTGTTGGGTTTTAATCCTCCAAGTCCAGCGATTTGTATCCTATATAGGTACGAGAATAAGATACATGTAATCAAATATAAGAAAAATAAATAAACGACACTGGAGTGTTACTCCGAAATGAAATACTAAAACTCACAAATGACTGAGTCCCTCTGATGTGTTATTCGAGACTAAAACATCAGCAAATCCTTTGACCTTTTCTTCATCCATCAACCTTACTAGTTCTTTTTTGGTAGATTGCACGTCATGACCGGTTTTCTTGATGAAATCACCCTCGATTACGGTTGCGCTCACTGTAAGTCCTTTGCCCGCCTTAAGTTGGGAGACCAGTGAGAATATCTTACGGTATTTTGGTAGGTCCGCGTTGAAGTTGACCAACATGAGAATCTGTGGACGCCAGTTCTTGGTGTGCGGTGGCGCATCCTCCAGTCGAAGCAAACTGTATCTTGCAGCCGACAAAGCTAAACCACGCATACCGTCACCCCATTCCTTTTCCGCTCTGTGATAAAACGTGATTATCAAAACGAATAATACAAATAATTATGATTTATCGTGCACTGTGTATTGCATGCAACTATATATTTTATTTGGTCCCGAATAAATAACTCGCAAAGCCCGGGAGAGGGGGGGGGGAAATAATGTTTTAATGTTTAATACGTTCGATTAAACACGGTTTAAAACCGATAAACCGATTAATAAAAAAATAGCACTGTGGTATCTATATATTTTTATTATGCATGTATCTACCCACCAAATGTTATAATCGACGAAATTAATTATCGCTGTATTTTGTTTTTTCCCCGCGCGTAGGTATAATACCATAATATAATACATAGGTTCACCATAATAATTATTATTTCAAACTCACCCTCGATACTCGATGTATTTGTAAATTATTCCCGCCATACCCAGAGCTAACAGCGCGAAATACCAACTTGACATGAACATGACAGCAATGCACAACACGAGTCCGGTGAACGATAATGTCCTGTGAAACAATTCATACGAATTCGAATTACACTAAAATACATATAGGTACTGTGGTCCACGCGTGGAGTTATAAAATTAGGCTCGTAACCATTGGGGGGGGGGGGGCTCTGTCCATCCAAAACCCACCCGTTGGCACCCTAGCAAGTTTTTTAATTAAAAATGTTTATAATCCTATATAAAAAAGGCACAATAGATGTTCTATAGCCGAACGTATCATACAATTTCAAAAATAAAATAATACTATAATATTTACGAGAAGGTTTTCTCGTTATAAGTTTTTTTTGATGCGGGAAATTACATAATTTTTAATCACTTTTCCTGCAATATAATATGAGTAAGTAATTAATTATATAAATGTATAGCATCTAATACACCGTGGGTAATTTTTTAATAATTTATTAATTCTCAGATGTAAGTGTAGAATATTGTATTTGATGTAAATAAAAAAAAAAAAAAAACAAGGTGAGGTATTTATTGTTTATAATACCTACATCGCCTACTCCGAAATTCTGTTCTCTCCTTCTGGACACCTGGTATATGGTTACGGGCCCGTTTACAACATTGGTTTTCGCTTAATAAGGTTACTCATTATACATACCAGTGATAGTACTTAAACCTAGGTCTCCAGTTGGGTGTGCGCAACAACGTCTGCAAGACGCACGCCAAGTTGACGAAAGCGTAACACATCAACAGGAACATGGCCAAGAGTGGAGCGAGATTGTCAATATTTCCGATCAGTATGCCGCACTGACACACGGCTACGGTTATCAGCAGAGCCCTGGTTGGTTCGCCGGATGCCGAAGATTTGGCAAACGGTCGAAGAAACGGTATGATATCGTCCTTGGCAATGGCCTGTGCGGGACAACACATTTCGAACGATTGTTATTGCACATAATATTTTATTAACATTTGCATCCAATTAATATACACCAAAATAATTGACGGACTCAAGATGACCGATCTCATTATATTTTACCAGGATATCAGATAATAATATGTCCTACTCGTTCTTATTATTATAGGACCTAGTGACTTACCTGCAACAGCCTCGGCGCCCCGGTGAGACTCTGAAGTCCGGCTCCCAATGTCGATAATGTCGCGCCGACCAAAATAACCCATTCGTTTGGCCATGCTATGTTGGCCACAACCAGACGTCCTCCAATACTCTGACCAAACCTATGTACATTAGAAACACATAGGTGCAAGTTGTTACAACTGATTGACATCTCTCATCGAAAGACATTCGATGTCAGAAATGCGTATTTGTTTTGAATTATATTTTGATGTTTAACAATAACCGTCTCACGATATCATCAAATAGGTAATGAATAATATTATGGGCAACTATTAGAATATCATAATTGCTATGTACTGACGTCCAGCCATATATTTGTGTATAATAATTAGGGGAGACGAGGTGACCGAGTGGTCTGACGCGTCCTTTGCGACGCAGCTGGTCGAGGTTCGATCCTCGGCCACCGGGCGGCATTTTTCTACGGACAAGTCACGGTGACCGGAGAACAAGTGCCGCCATCCCCCAACCGGGCATGGCAGAAACCTACGGGTGCCCAATAGAAATTCTGCTAAAAAAAAAAACACACACGTGTAACCCCCTACAGTCCCAAACCCTACAGTACCACAACCTACAGCTATTGGCCTCAGTTGCCGAAGCTTAAATCAAAAAAAAAAAAAAATAATAATTAGATTGGGTATAGGAACGCCATATACGGTAGAACAAACCACATATATATAGTACAATTTAGTTGTTTCGATAAATTAAGTCAGAAGAAATGAAAAAAAAAACAAAATAATAGACCTATAGGTACCAAATCTAATGGCATGTAAGACACCGAGGAAGTTCGTTTAAAATGATGATTTAATATATTGTATCTACATAATAATTAATAGTTATCATATTGACGATGCATTTAACGTCTTAACCTAAATGTGGTCTGACGTGCTTAAAACATTCACTGTTTGTAACAGAGCCAGAGTAAGACATAGCCGAGTCACATACAACATATTGCAATATAGTTTTATTATATTATATTATGTATAATGTATTTACTTTCTATTATACATATTATCATATTCAGGCTCTACCCGTCAACAACTGTCCTAACTATATCCCAACACCCATATAGAACACGGCTGTAGATACCTACGTCAATATTTAACGTCGACGACGTAGCGGATTTAGTTTGGTAAAATGTTCTTCAAAGTTGGTGATTTGAATTTCCATCCATGTACGATAAGATAATGTCCGACGCATTATTATTTATTGAATCGACATTGTGCGTATATGGTAGAAACTACAAAGTGGACCAGACGTTGCCACAGTTATGCCTCACTTTAAGAGTCTAATCAAATACGTGGAGTATTACAATGCGTGGCGATGCTCGAAAATATTATTGTTTTTTTCTGAAGTATACAAATAATATAGTCCTTTTCAGACAGCTTATGCAAGAAAAAACAGCATATAAATAAAAATAAAAAGGGGATAACAACAATCCTATGGTACAGTATAATATAGTCAGTTCTTTTAGGACATTCAACTAAAATTATGTTCTATTGAATAAATATTGACCTCATTTTCCCTTCTTTTCATCGGTAAATTTGTTTTCATGCACCCAGTTATTTGATTGATTTTGAATACACTTGGAAATAATGATTGTAGGAAATGTATTTAAATTGAATGACATCAACACCAGATTAATATTCATTCAATTTTTTGATTTCAATAAAATAAGTGGTAAATGATATTGCGAGAACAACAAATTTAATTTTCGTAGAGTATGCTTACTTGTCTCTTAGTAGTAAATTATCAACCGTAGCTCCGAATAGTAAGACGGCAGACAGGTAAACCGATGATGTACTCAGAATAGCTAATATTGTACCAATAGGAATTGATTTTTGTGCATCTGCTAGATCTCCGGATCTGTTAGAGCCGGCCATGATTCCTAATTAAAAATAAACGAACAAATAAAGGTTAGAAGTTATAATGAAAATGATAATAGAAAAAAAAATACTAACCGGTTACGGACGGAAAGAATATGCCAATAAGTATGGTGAATGTTGTAGTGATATCTACCATTACCATATTATACGTATTCTTACTCGATGCCAGGATATCTTCTTGGAGATGACCTCTAGCTATGTACTGTCCTTTTTCCAAAAAGTTACCAAAGATATTTTCTGTAATATGTAAAGCATAGTTTATAGTTTACATAAATAATAATGATGATATTATTTTTATTTGATTCAAACAAAATAGTTAGGTATAAAGAGCCTAACTAATTATAATATCAAATAGATGTTTTTTTATAAACTGTTTCAAATAAGTGCATATCGTTAAGGCATAATAACTATATAAATGAAATATCTTAGGTTATTACAATTCACTTTTAGCGTATGTTTTACTTTTAGTTTATGAAAATATTAATTTAAATAATCGAAATTGATTTTATTTAAGTAAATAATGCTAACAATGTGTAAAGTCGGTATTTTTGCGTAAGTATACCGAGGTACCCGTTGGAGTCGAAACGTTTTACTGTTTACTTTGTAATTTTAGGAAATCCATACAAATTGCGAGTAATAGGACAGTAGGTTAGGTAGTGTTACATTATGGATACCTAACCTATAATAACTTAGGGACTAATAGGTAGATAAATAATATTACTCAATGCGAACTGCAAAATATGTTATTATTATTAATTTTCCGATAAAAAACACCAACCAAAGAAAACACCGCTGCTGATGCCCCGAATGCCTTTCACAATCGATGTATTATGCTTGCTGAAGTATTCGTCGCACGCTCCTGTTCCATTGGCGCAGTACATGTTGTACAAGTAACCGCCTATCGCCTTGTTGCAGTGTTTCAAGTCCATGTCCTTCAGCAGCCGATTTCCCAGCGAACACATGCTGAAAAGCGACACGCGCACGCGTACAACGTTAGGACGATCACAATTTTATGGTATATATTATGTTAATAGTATAACGATTAAAAAAAAAAACCGCGGTGACGGGCGCATGGCGACCGGTTCGGTATACTTAGGTGCTTACTAGAGTTTGTCGCTGCCATGGAAGTTATAAAAAATGCCTACGTATACAGACAATATGGACAGCAGCACACAGGCCAGGGCCACGGACGCGAATTTGTTGACGAACTTCACGCCAACGTACACGATCGAGCTCATGACCATCAGCAATATTGTCCCGTACACGCGGAAATTGTTGTACATTATGCTGCTGTCTTTGGAGAAGTCGCCGAAAATCGATAAGCTTGGCGCCATGTACGTCTGTCGAAACATAATAAAGTTCGACGTTTGAAATAGAAGCTGTCGTAATTTTCGCACTCATGTGACTTACAACATACGATGATATTATAACTATATTGATATTTTTGAAAAAGCGTTATTGTTTCGCCGTTTCTTTTATGCGACGCTTTAGCATCGATTTCAAATTGAAACAATAAATATAAATTATAAATATCCATTCGCACCAGAATAGTTTGTTTAGTTTTACCATGCATTATATACCATTAATATAATAGATAGCTTACTTATTATGCTTAGTAAATTATATGTGATATGGTAATCAACGGTTAAAGCTCCAGAAAGGGAACAAAATCCAACTAATACTTAAAACTTACATTTTCCATCCCCTTTAGTTCTAACCTGATCATGAGTTGTTTAGCCGTTGTTAACCTACTTAAAATATTAAGTATCATAGATACTTTAGACAATTTTGACAATACTTATACTTTTATCCAATTGTTTTTAAAAGTGGAAATTATTATAATTAGTATTGAACTTTTTAAAAATGTGTAGGTTATAATAAAGTAGGTAATATCATTATATTATGTCATTATATCAAAGATAATTGGAAATTGTATTGTATGAAAAATATACTTATTAAAATGTAATTTAATATTTTTAAAATAGTAATATTACCAATTACTATTAAATAACATTAAAAAAATTAGGTACTCAAATTGTTTACCTATTAATTTCATAATAAAATGTTCATAGCATTAACTTATTAAAAATGTTTATGGCGAAAAAAAATAATGGGATACTAAGTATTGTTTATAGGTATTAGGTATTTTGTAATGAATGCGAATCTCATGATTAGTAACCTTGCACATTGTCCCTCTCGAATTTTTCCACATTTTATCTAATTTGACTTAATGACGAGTTACTTACAAGTATGATTTCAACGGCCCCAATGATGTACATGGATGCGGCTAGTGTGATACCGGTGTAGAAGAGCATTCCGACAGCTCCTCCACACTCGGGACCCAATGACCTGGATATCAAGAAGTACGGTCCACCAGCAGGCACAACTCCGTTCGTGGCTATGGCACTCATCGAAATAGCAGTCAACATTGTCTGAAAAAAATTTAATTCCATTCGTTAAAATGGGCTGGGGATGAATTTGATTTAAAAGGGTACATGACCGGTTGGTGGAGGGGGCGGTTTTCGCGTCGCGTAATGCATTACAACTACGGCGTGTTGACATCGGAGTTCAATCTCCGAGAGAAAGAAGAAAATAATCGTTAAAATCATTGTTTTGTTATGTACGTTTAAGTAATTGGACGAGTGTAAAAATAAAGCGCTGCATACGCATACAGAATACAATAATAATGTATTATAATATGCATACTCGCGTTGGTGAATGGCTCAGAAAACGCACATATATATATTATATACATACATACATACGGTATAGTGCATAATGGGTTGCATTAAGATAATTAAACCATAAATGTAATAGGGAGTGATATGAGCGTTATGAATAATGGTTGTAAAATGATCCCTTCGTACGTATCACGGTTGTTAGATTTTCCGTTTAACCTATAAATGTAATGGTTTGTGTAACGAAATCTGAAAAATCATAAACGTTGCTTTTTAATGGCCGTTTCAATAGATTTCCGTACAGCGCGTCTAATTCAATAAATCCGTTTTTGCATACCCATCTTTATATTTATTTTTTAAAAATACCAAGCTTCTTTGAACAGGAAATTTCGAAAAATATCCTTGTATAATAATTTCTAAAGACAATCGAAAATGGGCAGTATCCTGGTGCAGTGTTTTATGGAATGGTTTATCTAGAGGCGAAACTAGAATTTATTTTTGAAGGGGATAATATGTTGAGTACAAACTATATTGGTATGGGAGAACTGTTTCTTGGCCATTTTCAAATATTAGAATATACCACGCATTATAAAACAAATTGAAGGGAAGTAGTAGGAAAACTGATTATATAATAAATCATTAGCCTATAATTATAGGCCGGGAATAATTTGTGTCCCATCTTTTGTGCAGTACTTGTATGTATGTGTTACACTTTTACTAAAATGATTTCAAAAAAAGATTTGTTTTTAAATTAATTTGAAACAATCATTGTTTCGATAATATTACGTTGTTGGTCTGCACGTCGTCGAATATTTTGATCACACGTAAAGACTTTTGACCTCGGACCTACTCATTTTCTCGATGGAATTAATGCGAATGTATACCAATCTGCCCTGCATATCATATAAAAGCGAGGAAAAACTAATAGCAGAAACTCGTAAGTATTTAATAGTAGCAGCGTATCATAATGTCTAACGTATGGAAAATATGCGTCAGAGGATAAATTAATATTTGAAATATTCGAAAGACGCCGCGCAGTCTTAACGATGTTCAAACCTGTAATTATTCATAAAGAATAACTTTTGATTAAAATACGAAATTCTGAAGCGTATAGAGTTTATAACGGCATGCCGAGGCGCATATAGAGACATCACGCTTGTGTGAACTTAATTCGAATTCTGTACACCTACTGCGTACATTATAACAAACAAGTTTAAAGAATCCATCACCCTGTCGTTTATGAGCGACCTTTTTAATTTTTTAGCTATAATAATAATGCACACGGGCAGAAATAAAAATTTCAGTCAAAACGCGCGATAACGTTCCTCTTAAAAGGGTTTAATATACGTATAACGAGCACGCGTTGGTGGTAAGTATACTTTTCGTAAAACGACTGAAGGGGCGGAGGATTGTATAACGGCTATAAAAAAAGCCCGTTAATTGATCGTTAACAACACAAAACAGTGGTCAGACCAGCTTGCGTATTCGAATAAGCAGCGTACCAGCTGTTTTGTTAGACTATAATTTTGTAACATTTAACAAACCGTTCGCCTGAAAACTAAAATGATTTGCAGAAGCAGTCAAATATGAGCAAACGAAAATAAAAAATGAATAAAGTTATGCAAATTATGAACAATTTCGAAATGTATTTGTTTTCCCAGAGTCTGTGAAAATGCATTACTTTAATAGTACCTATATAACTTTATAACTTTATGTGTATGAATAATTTATAATATTACTATGCAGTATTAATAATTTATTGTACATACAAAAAGGTATTTTTGAAGTTAAAACGAATAGATCATATTGTCAGATACGATTACAAAATTTTTAAAACTTAGACAGGCTATTCAATCATATATTTCAAATTTGAAAGCAACTACCAAGCACCAACCCAGAATCTTTGTATTACAGAATCCTAATCCAGCCCACTGATAACGATGTCAATACCATAATTTTTTTAATTATTTTGTTTGTAATGATTTAACTGTTTTCCATCCATGCAGTTGGTACTTGGTACCTATATAATAATAATAATATTTTTTCATGAGCTATAAGATAACAGCCGATTGCCTAATAAAATATTGTAACGGTTTCAGTTTTTTTGGTGACATTGAGTACATTAAAGGTATCTTTGTAGCTATTTAATAATAATAAAAAAAAGGTGATAAGAAAGGTAGGCGTATAATAATATTAGAAGATGAATTAGGAAGTGTTATTATTGTAAAGTCGCATGAGATAAATATTAAGGTAGTTAGCCAGCTGGTGTTGAGAGAAAGATGGAGTGATGTGGGTATAAAAGAGAGCAACGATTCTAGTAAGACGTGAGTGGGGCTGACGAAGTTAACAAGAGGTGGATCATTTTATGAGCTTGTAGAGTTACTGACGATTTGCAATAATATTCAATTACCACGGGCCATTTATTTCTTGCTGTAATTATTATTGTTGGTATTGTATTTTATATTTTTTTATATATATTAATTAATATCATATCGGACTTACCACGCAGCAACAGGTGAACACGATTCCGAACCCGTAGATGACTCCCGCCGTGCCAACCACCCACGACAGTCGAATGAACAAAATGACTCCGAAGATGTTCTGCACGCAAGGCAGGTAGACGCCGACCAGCGTACCCATCCTGGACGATCCCTGTTTGGCAGTGGTCGACTTGGTGTCTGACTCCGCCAAATTCGGGATGGTGTTCGAGTAATCGGCGATCGAGTTGAGGAATGTGGGCACCCGCGGCCGGTCATCCATTTCATCCTGCAATCAGACCGTCACACAATGATAAGAGCTCGTAATGTTATGTGTAGGTAGGTTATTAATAGTTATTATTATTTTTCTATTGCCGTAGTCTGGCCGATCATTTGGGCTGACTGTATAAGATGATTTTTTCTAAAAATAATTTTTGTATGGACGTTACACATTATATGTATACGGTATACCAATGTCGTATCAGTACACAATGATTTGAATTCGGTTTAAACGATTCCAAACAACTATTAAGGGAATGTCACATCTGATTTTGTGGCCTCCCTCTTACAAGATGTGCTAACATAACAAATTTACGTTTAGCAGTTCACATTTATCATTGATCGTCTCAATATAAGTGGTCATTTATCTGGTTTCAAACTTAGAGGCAAATGGTTTTTCGTGCTTGTACGTCATGCACAGTTTTTTTATGCAAGGAATTTTAATTTTTAAGCGCGTTATGAGCTTTATTAAATTAGATTATTTTATAATTTTGTATAACCTAATTGTATGACTAAATGTACGGTGCTAATCACAGCAACCACTGAAAAAATGTCTCCATATGATAAAATGAGGACCCATAAAGTCATACATACATTTATCTTTATATGCAACACCTCAATTGAAAAAAGTTTTTAATAATTTTACTAATTGTGTTACTAAAGGGTGAAGTTTGACTTCTCAATTCACTTAAACATGAAAACTGCTATAGCGAAATACAAACTTCCGAGCGTAAATTTGGTATGCTCTTCATTTGTAAGTCGGAGACAACAAATTCGGGTGTGGCAATTTAGTTCTCTTAATACACATGATTATCACAAATCAGATTTGTACTGAACACAGTAATAATTGATAATTTATGGATTTGTTATATTCATTGTATTTAAATAATATTAATGGGAGTTCTGTCGTTCTATAATAATACCTGGAAATATGAGCGGGGTTTTTAATATCCACGGGAGATCATTTTAAAGATTTAATTTATGTACTTAAAGTTTAGACCCTGTGCAGAATTTCATATTATTTCTGATACCAAGTAATCATTAAATATTATAGGTATCATCACATTTTGAGTCTCTTAAATTTTAGATACGGATTATTTTGAAGTATTAATTAGTAAATGGTAATATCATTTAAACAAAAATATAATGGATAATTCAAATTCCAAATTCCATTAATATATAGGTATAGCATCTGTGTGTATAATATTTGATACACATAATAATATGTGTGTTAAATGTAAATGTAAGCTGAAAACGTATACAGTAATAGTATGGAATTCAACGATTTAATTTCAAATATAATTAGAAATATTTAACATTCAGCTTAATGATTAATACAAAACTAGATAAGTGAATTTATCAATTTGTAGTTAATACTAATAACAGACCTTCTTTTAAGAAGAACATTGTATTACTATCAATTAGTTAGTTTTGTTCTATAAAAAAAATGTACTTAAGACTATAGTTGTAGGTATAACACTGTCATTACCTATGAAATGATATTATGTACTAAAAGGAAATCCAACCAATTGTATTCTAATTGAACTGGTACAAAATATTTATGAAAATTCAGCGAACAGTCTTAAAGAGTGATCTAGTTAAAATGTTCGAGGTGTCGTATAAATTCTAAAAATAAAATTTAAAAATATAAAATAAAGACAATATAAAAGGAGTAAAGCGTGTCCAAGCCTTGAAATATGACTTCGAAGTGTTGGGTTATTACGGTTTTTGGCAATAGAAACAACTTTTTTCATGCAATAAAATAAAGTAACGACTCCTGACTATTGATGTAGCCATGTAAGTACTTTAATTTTTCAAGATTTGTAAAAGGAATTAAACATTAGTTGTTCAAAGTATAGCAGACAAACAATAGTAAGTATACAATTTAATAATATGTATATTTTAAATCATTCAAGGAGCAAATTTAATGTGTAAAAGAATAATAATTTTGATGACATTTAACTTATTTAGTTAACATTAACTTATTTGGATATGTATAGTAATAATTTATCAGTAGGTATTATAAAAGTTTTATACACCACAAAATACATGAGATTTCATCTATATTCTGTGTGCGTACACTGTACATATTATATGTTTTTATTATTTGTTTGTCAATCACTTCTGTATATATTTCGTAATGTATAACATAATATTATTACTTGCATTTCAAAATTGAGGGCTTAATATGAAATTTCATTCAATTTTTAAAATAATAATATAGTTTATGATAAATTAAATAAGATGGTACTTATAAAGTCTTATTTAAATCAATATTGTTTTTTTCTGAATTTCTAAATATATTTAAAGAAGTTTTAATAACTTTATCGATTACCACAAGAAAAAGTTATGTTTATTCAATCCACTGTTTTCATTGTATTTTTTTTTATTTATTGGGACGTATACAATTTGGCGTATTAGCCCAGTTTCAAACAATGTCCCTTTAAAAACTAATTAATTTCTTTTGGAAGTTTTCCAACAATTATATTATCAGTTTTGGTACTGGTTAACTACTAGATTTTTTTTAGGTCCGATTGTTTAAAAAAAGATGTATAGTTTAAAATATATTTTATGGTTTTTACTAGAATATTTAATTTTTTATATTTATACTTACAGAATAGAGGTATAAATTCGTTTCATATCCAGAGTTTCTGTTATTTTCGGACGAGTACGTTTCATCTTTAACATCACCTGCAAAAAAAATTATTTTTATAATTATTGTTATTGAACATACATTTAAAAAAAAATTTAAAAATGTATATTTTCATAAAAACTGATATAAAATAGGTATGTGGATTATGTTGTGTGAATATAAATTTATTTTATAGTCACTAAATGTATTTAGACAACTTTCAACAAATACAATATAATATTTACAACTAAGTACAATTCGTATAAGAATAACATAGTTAATAATGAAAAAATATTGTACAACAATGTTTTATGATGTAAACGGTAAATGTTGTTTTAATAATAAAATAATGTTGTTCATTTATATGAAATAATAACACGTCTACATGAATATAATGTATCATGCTAAATATTATCAAAAACCAAAAAAAAGTATTTAACTATTAAAATGAATTCATAGGTGCCGTTGCTGCATAGCTCCTATACCACCAATTATTCATGTGAAACTTTTGTTTATACCTATGTATCAAATTGAACTATTGTTTTAGTTAACAAATTGTAAATATCTTTATAAAAGAAAAAAGTAGTTATTGCTTTATGTACTGATATGATGGATTTTACCCTAGGACTTTGAGAATATAAATATTATAGATTTATACTAGTGTTAAGTAAGGATTTACAAATTGATACGATAAGTGCTGGAAAATATAGGTTTTTAAAAATGTACGAACGACAATTTATTTATCAACTATAGTAAACAAAATACAACACCCACGGTCCATCGATTTAAGCCATTCAAGTGAGAGCTGGGAAATCTTCATTTGCGCCCTGACCCATTTTTGCAATGCCCGTTATTGTGGTTAGGGAGTGAAGGACAGTGGAAGCGGTTCTATTGATTTGCACTTCAATAAAAATGTAACGAACGTTTTTTTTTTAAAACTAGGGACAAAAAAGGCTTTTTACATTTTTTATTTGTATTTATTTTTATTGTAACTTTTCCCCAACCACAATTCACATAAAAACACCGATTACTGTCGGCTGATTACCAAATGGATGAATACAAAATAATAATAAACAATAAAACAAAACAACGAGAAAAAGATTTAAAAATATCCAAGCAAAATCCAATGGAGTAGGTATGCACATTGTACACACTCAAAAATCAAATGAGTAAAAAATGCAATCACATCTATAATGTGTTAAGTAGGTACTTAAATTAAAAATAATGTTTTGTTTTATAGCTATTGATTGTTTTTTTGTTGCGCAAAAGAAAAACATTATACAGTTAAATTTTTAAAAATGTTTTATGTTAATAAAATTATTTGTTTCGATTAATACTAATTGAAGCCCCGTGACTTAAAATTATTAAAATAATAAAGCAAGTAAAGTAGTGAAATTCAGTTAAATAAAGAGTTTAATGTTAAAAATAAACACATTAAATACTCATTACAGTTAATTAAAATACACTATAAATTATGTAAAATCATTTAGTTTCTAAGAAATAAAAATATCTGTTTAAAAACTTACAAACAAAATAAATTGTTCTAAAAGTCTAATTAATTCAAATATATAATACAAACTTTTCAACTAAAATTATAACATCAAAATAAGTCGTTAAATAATATTTTGTCTGTAGTTCAGAATAATGTTAATACATTTATATTTATGATGATAGAGGTTAATACAATTGAAACAATAGACTCACATGAAAGTAAAGTATAAACGATTCTTTAATTAAAGAAATAATATGGTACAGTTCCAATTGCTTGCCCTTGGTAATATATCAAGTATTTCCGTTACTGTATGTTTATTTTTTGATGAATTATCAACATTTTCGTTATTTTACTGCATAATGTTGTATTTTGATATTGCAGGCTGCAGCATTTAATTACGATGGTTAGGCATAAGTTATATAACCTAACATTTATTTATAATATTATTAATATTACATTCTATGTAATATTTGTAACGAAAATACGTAAGTTTGTAAATGTTTCTCACAAACGCATATTTTATGTATATTTTCTAAAATGTACAATTGTATAGGTGTATGTATGTACTGTAGTACCTACCTATTAACATTTTATACACTAGTTTTATATTAATACACCAAAGTATAGCAATAAATCATTACTTCATGAGTTTACGAAATATAAATATTTTTTGGTTATTGTTATAGTCGGAACAAATGTGATGTCAACAGCAGGAACTATAACCATTTTATGGTACAGAGTGTGTGTAAATATATTTCGATTGCCCTTGTTCAGTATTTCGTCGAACTATTTTGATCAATCGCTAAGCATTATTGGCAATGATTTAATTAATTTTCTTTCGTTAGCGCGATGCTATTAATTTTGAAATTATACTAATTAAACCGAAACGTTGCTATTTTGTTTACACGTCGTCGTAAACGTGAAATGCGATCAGTATTAATTGTTTCGTCCTTGGAGTACACGGATGTGGTTTCGTTGTACCTATACCTACTTACACACCAGTTGGCGAACTTTTAAAAAACCGTCAGATTCATGCGTTTGTCAGTGCCGTCATAAACTGTCTCTCCCAATTATTACACACTACTAATTATTTGTCACTTTTAGAACCATTATTGTAAACGGAATTCAACTCGACAAGCAAAAATATATACCTATGTATACCTAACGTTTGAAAGACTTGAGGTGCAGTAGCCACTCATAGTCTCCTCCGCCAACGTCATCGTGGCTATACATTAACAACAGTAGGTATTCGAAAAAGTCACATAAAAATAAAATATCTTGACGCAGTAGAAACTGTTCACATTTTTAAAAACCATACTCACGAGTCACGGGCGACCGTATATACGAGTAAATCACGCACGTCATCTCTATCGGAAACAGCCAGCTCTCTATCGGAAACAGCCAGCTCTCTATCGGAAACAGCTAGCTCTCTGTCATAAGTTTGGTTTTCTTTCACTAGCAATATGAGAACATAACTTTGAAGTTTTGTGAGTCGATTATAATAATAAACAAATCACGACTCGGATAGGGCGACCGTACTACATCTTTTCTCGAAGACTATACAGTCGGCAGTGGGCGTCACAAGTATATACTCACAACCGCATTTCGACGAAATCGTGGTCAGGTTTGTGGTATACGTGTTTCACGCCCTACCCCCCTCTCCCATGCAATCACGGATCACCAATTTCCGTCACATTAGTAATCTTTGTCGTGACAAACTCCGCTTGGTGGGAAATATAGGCGGATGGGTGGGATCTATGACGTGCGATTCCATCCGGTTGTGTACTCGTGTAGGCGACTGCAGTCACGAAAAATACATAAATATTAATGTCTGACTTATAAATAAATATTACAAAATAACGGGTGAAATGAGTATAAATCCCTCGGCCCACTTATTATAATTATGTTCAATCGAAAGAGGGTAGACACGAGGGAAGTGATAAAATATCCCGAAAAATAATAAAATAAATAAAATAAAAACTACCCAAAAATGAGAGAAAACATATATCCAATGCTTGGGGGAGTTTAGCACGACTTCAAACAGCCGACCGAAGGATGGGGTGTAGAGGTGAACGGAATACGAAAAATATATTATTTAAAAATAAAAAGCTTCAGGGATCCCCGTTACTCTCAGTCACCCCCAATACATTATATTCACTGGTGCACTGACGTTCACGCGCTTTTGAAATTTATTATCGCCGTTAATGACGACGACGGTACATTCATATTTTATAGTAGTTCATATAAATTATACCTATACAATATACAATATACATAATATATATAGCAGGTATATGCACGCCTATTATTATTATTTATTTCATCTATATTATTATTGTTGTCGTTGTTATTATTATACCATACTCAGATCGAAGTCTGTGCGGGGTGGACAATTATTATAAAGTGAGGCGGTGGCCCTAACCGAAATCGTTTGCACGACGACGGTGCGAGTTTGATATTACATATATTTTACTATAGGCGTACAGGTAAACGACGTACAAATAAATTATGCAACGTCCCTCGGTGGTAATTCGAGATTCCGATGTTTACCGTGCAGTCTTCGACTTTCAGTAATACACGAACGTACAACATATGTAATATGTGTGTACAAAACAAAATGAAATAACATATTCGTTCGACTTGTTTTTCTCGTGTACATACGTTCGGAAGGTAATAATGAGTGTACCAGTGCGGTGATTTACAAGGAGTAAAAACAACACTTTTCAAACAGAATAATATACTCTATTATTTATATATAAGTACCTACCTATATATACGAGGGATGTAATAAATATTAAAAATGCTGTACACGTTTCCCGTATTTCCCCTTATCTTTCCATAAAATTATATTTGAAAAATTGGACGTTTTATTGTTGGGGTTCTCTGCGGTCTAGAAATTCGGTATAATTTCATTTTCATACTATATTGTGACGTCGGTGTACACTGTACAGAAATAAATTGTATAGATGAGTACTCTCTATAACTATTTGCTTAAAACCGCCTATATGGTTTGTAGGTATGTACAAAACTACAGTATTATATATTATACTATTATTATTATAGGTACCTTGAAATTGTATACTTACGCACCAAGGATGGATTATAGAAAGCGCGGTCAATTAGATTAAAAATGTCTTACCGAAGGTTAGTATTCATTATTAATACATAGCTATATTATAAATGCAGCATTTTTAACCATATCGAGTCTGAAATCGTCCCAATATATTATTATATGTACAGGTCCGTTGAGTTAGCTGTCCAAGTTCTAAATTATTAGTTCAAGTTCAGCTCTCAATGATTAGTAATCAATTTGTAAGTTGTATATAACGCATCGAAGATCGAAGAATCGTGTTACCCATCTCTTCTAATTTTAATATGTTTTACCTATATTCAACTTCTCAAGTTGTGTGCACTAATAAAATTGATTCAAAAGCTTTTAAATTTCGTAAAATATTAGGTTTATTAAAATCTATTTGAATAGGAACCATTTTGTCGATACATTTCGATACATTTTGTACTTAAAAGTCGTACTTAATTGAAAGTTATTTTAAAGTTCAATTTCTCGAT